TTGGAAGCTAAGCAGGGTCAGCCCTGGATTGTCCTTGGATGAGAGACCACCAAAGAATCCCAGGTGCTGCAGGTTATATTTCAAAGGAAGGAACTGGCAAAACCACTTCTCGAGTCTTCTTTGCCTAAGAAAACCCTAAGAAATTCATGGAGTCACCATAAGGCGACAGGAGAATTGCAAGTAAGTTGGGCAGGGAATTTGTGCAATACCTAGCCCTGCTGCTGGCTTAAACTTACATTTACAACTTAAAATTGTTCTTAAACTGCTGTTAACTTTATACAGTTGATATAAAATATTTTACTACAGTATTTGGTTAAGAATCTTTTTTTTTCTAGATTTTCCTCCTTTAAAATTGGGTGTGTCTTATATGCCGGAGCGTCTTATATGCCGAAAAATACGGTATTTTAGCCCGCGTTAACAGAAGCACAGTTTCCAAGTCCAGGGAAGCAATAGTTTCACTATATTCTGTGCTGATTAAGCCTCATCTGGAATACAGCATCCAGTTCTAGGTACCTTATTTTAAGAAGGATATAAACAAGTTGGAGAAGGTTCAGAGAAAGGCAACAAGGATGATATGAGTCATGGAAGAAAGGTTGAAGGAGCTGGGCATATCCAGCTTGGTGAAGAGAAAACTGAAGGGTGCCATAATTACACTCTTTACCTCGAGGGCTGTCACAGAGAGGAAGGGGCAGACATGTTCTTTTCTGCCCCAGGGGTTAGGACCAGGTCTAATGGCTTGATGTTACAGGAGAGTACATTTCAATTGAACATTAGAAGGAATGTCTTGATAGTAATAGTGGTTTGGCAATAGAACCAACTGTCTAGAAAGGTGATAGAATCTCCTCTTTTGGATGTCTTCTGAAAGAGGCTGACCAGCTACCTTCTGGGGATACTTTAGTTGAAGATCCTGAACTGAACAGGGGGCTGGATTTGATGACCCATGAATCCCCTTCCAGCTCTATGATTCTAAGACCAGTTGAAAAGACCATTCCCAAGTGAGAAGAAATTGTCCAACTAGTTTGGCTGTGATCATGAAAGCAAAATTACACATTATGAAGAAGATTCATGGTTCAGTTTCCTAGCTTATTTTCTTTTACTTAATAACAGGTGTGGGGACCTGCCAATTTGCTCATGTAGTGGCAGGCCAGATGGTGGTAGAGGAGTGATAGAACATAGGGGTCAAAAGAATATTCAATTTAAAAAAAAACTGGCCAAAAATGCTTGTCAAGTCTTGATAAACCCTGATGAGAAGAATCCTGGTGTGATGGAAAAGATTACAGTTTGGGACTTACTCTATGCAGAATTTGCACATAGGTGATTTGCATAGAAAACAACATTGTCTGTGCAGGAAGCAGCATTTTCTGCACAGAAAATAATATTTATATGGAGGAATATTATTTTCTATGCAGCAAATGCTGTTTCCTGCACACACAGGTCAATCAAAATGCACAATATACATGTTGCAAACGTTGAAAGCTTGCAACATAAATAGTGTGCATTTTGGTATCACTGTTTGGTGTATTCTTGTTGTTAGTGGAATTGCTATATGGCCAACACGCCTACCCCTGGATGGGAAATGCAAATAGTCTTCAAAAACTGTGTGGTTTTCTAGAACATTCTCACTGTGGGAAGAAAATTGGTAAAATTACTCAATGTGTCCTTTGAGAAGAAACTTTGGGATGAAACAGGTGGAAGGGGTAGCTTGAAGCTGTTCCTTCCAAAAATGGATTGGGGCTGCAGCAACCACACTCCACAGCCCCAATCTGCCTTGAAGCCAGCCCAAAAAGAGCAGCAGAGATCCACTCTTTTTTGGGCCGTAGAAAAGTTGCCTTTAGCAGCTGTGCTGCAGCCCCATGCTGGCTTCCAGCCGCTCTGGTGGTGTGCGATGTCTAAACGATGTGCCACCAGAGCATCTTGAAGCTGTCCACATCTTGGCTGCCACCCAGATTCCAGGCAGCTTCAGGGTGTCATCATGGCAGCATGTAAAGACTGTGTCCTGAAGGCATCTTTTAAGGACCACGTATTCTAGCCCTTTGTGAAGAATTAGATCCCTAGTAGAAAAATACTGAAATAAATTTCAAATCTTTGGAGCCAGATTCATTTCAAGATATTTCAAAGGGTACTGCAAAATGTCTACCTAATGGGATTCAACACATATTTTGGTAGGATTAGGTCTTAGCCTGCAGCTTTTCAAAGGCTACTCAGCAAAACAATTGGCACTGTCTTCTTTTCAGCAATAGCTTGTACTTGTCTATCCTAATGAGATTACAGTTATCATATGTTCTCTCTCATACTTGTCTATCCCATTGAGATTACTGTTATCAAACTTTCTCTCTCATAGCCTTCTGGTACTATTGTGAGTCTGTCAGTAACGGATATTCTTTGGCCCTCACTTCTTATTTTAGAGCTAGCTTCTACGGAAGGTCCTGTCTATCACCTGCTAGTGGAAGGGGATATTTAAAGAACAGGTTGCTCCAACTGTGAGATCTATACGCATGCTGTGTAAGGATTTCCATATATAGGCTACTTGTGGGTAACAATCATATTTGGGAACAGACTCCAAATATCTAGCTAGATACTTTGTTGTAGGTAAAACAGGCAAAGATTACAGGGCAGTTCATATATGCATTATATGATGAATGGAAAAGGACTACAGTGTGAGGCCTTTGGTCCTATGTGAATTCATATGAAAGTTGAAATACAGCCAACACACTAGCAAATGTATGTGTGTGCAGGGCATTCTCGTGCATTTGGGAATCCCCAATTAAGACATGTACTGTAGGAATAGGAATGCATGAACAGAATGACTCCTGGTGTGTGTGATATGATTTACCTTATGCCTTCATTCAGAACAGGTTAAGAATCTGGATGGTATCTTGAAAAGACAATAGACTAATGCCTACTGTCACTAAATGGTGACATGAGAAGAATCAGTTGGTCATAGCAGGGCTGGGAAACCTGTAGCACTCTTGGAGTTCCTATCTGTTCAGCCCTGTTCAGTTTTGTCATTGGCAAAGAAATATGGAAATAGTTTTTCATCAACATCTGGAGGGCCATAGATTTCCTAATACTGATGTAAATGATATGGAATAGTTGCTATTTACTGATTTGAGACTACAATAGCAACAAGGCATTTGATGTTTCCATCCAAGGCTTTTATCATGACACTGCTTTGCCTCTTTCACTGAATTTTATGAGAATTTCAAATATATCCTCCCAACAGTCTCTTGTTTTCTTCCATCTTTTTCCTGACCATGGGAATAAGACAGATTAGCTGCATAGTGCCTTCTAATTACTTGTGCATGGAGCCCTCCATCTGGAAACAACCACATCAATCTTCTGAAGTGGGGCTTTGCAAAAGGAAGTCTTTGCATTTAAAAGGCAGCTCACAAATTTGGAAATTCATGCATTTCCATTCCATCTCCCTCCTCCCTTCTTCTTTCCTGTTTCTTTAGGGCCAGACAGATCAAGACATAAACAAGAGCTTAATTAACATTTAAAGAGCAATTTTGTTTCCAAACAATATTTGTAGTAGACCCAACTGGGAAGAGAAGTTTCCATCCACGCTTTCTTGCTTTGATCCAGCTGGAAAGAATCTGCAAGTACGGAAATTTTGCTAGTCTTCTACACTTTGCTCCAGGAATGGTAAATTATACCATTGTAGGATATGTCATTAATATGCAAAAAGAAAAGCAAAAAGAAAGGAAATTAAAAAAGGAAAGAACTCTTCAATTTGAAAGTAATTGTCTTAAGCTGCTTAAGATCAAAAATCTCTGGGTAAAAATGATGTTTGCATTGATTACAATTGTTATTCTAGGCTTGATTGTAGGGTATATTTATCTTCTTTATGGGAAGCAGATTTTACATTTTATGGCCTACAATTACATTTATTGACAGAAGAATGATATAAACTATAATGTATTGCAACAGCTTAAAATATTTTAATTAGCAGCATCAGAAAATACAAGAAAAGAGTTTAAGGAGAGGGCTGCTAATTTCACTTTGGGAAAATAGTCAACAGACTCAGCATTATGTCTAGATTCCTGCAATAGAGGGTGTTATCAAAATCAGTTAAAGGTGTGCCATTTAACTTAGGAACAAATACTGAGCTAAAATAAACACAAAAGACCCTCCTCAATTTTTTGCCAGTTTGCTTGCCTTTTCAAAAGGTTAAGTACAGGGCTAGCATTACCACAGAAACAACAAAAATGGCAAGCATTATGCTATACAAGAGCCAGGGTGACACAGTGGTTTGAGTGTTGGACTATGACTCTGGAGACCAGGGTTTGATCCTCTGCTCAGTCATGTAACTCACTGGGTAACCTTGGACAAGTCACATGCTCTCAGTCTTAGGGGAAGGCAATGGCAAACCTCCTCTGAACAAAGAAACCCCTATGATAGGTTCACCTTATGTTTGGTGTAAGTTGGAAATTACTTGAAGGCACACAACAACAACAACAACAACAACAACAACAACATAGTTATTATATACACTCTACTTGTTCTGTATGGGCTTGTACTCCCCTTAAAGACAGGGCTTCCAACTTGATGTGCTGTGTCTATGCTGTGTCACACTAACCAATCACAGCACTACGATCCCACTTGAACTGCTATGGTTCGATTCTGGAATCCTGGATTTGCAGTTTAGGGAGAGCTACTTAGAATTCTCAGCCAAAGAGTTCTATTGTCTCACCAAAATGCAAATTCTAGGATGGCATAAAGGGTAGCCATGACAATTAAAATGGAATCATGCTGCTATAATTGTGTAGAGTGAAAGGATCCTTTGTGTTTGCTCAGTTTCAGATAAACCCTGTCCTAGGAAAGATTGATTTGTTATGCTAACTTCTAATTCAAGTCATTTAGATCTGTTTATAAAATTACATTGTTCATCACTTTTTGTGTTTCAAAGTAGAGGATGTCTGGTGCTGGTGACTACATTGCTGTCTTTCTCCTTTCCCTTCCATAAATATTTTTAAAAATCTAGTGAAAGGTCTCCCGGATGTCACAGAAACTGGACCTGGTAATACATGTGCCCAGGCTATGTCATCCCTTCAAATAAGTGTTGTTAATGGATCAGCCAGCCTGTAACTAAACACTCTGCTAAATCAGCATGTCAGAACCATTTAGACAAATGGGGGAGGCAATAGGATAGAATGTTGGAGACTAAACATTTAAGCAGATACATTAGAAGGAAATATAATTTTGCTTACCACAGATAAATAGTTTTGGCATAGGTTGTTTAGAGCTTAGCAACTGACAGGATAAAATGGAAGCCAACACTGCCACTCTAAGACAGTTTGCATCTTGCATTTCCAATTATGAATGCTTGGATATAAGTCTTTTCAGACATTCAGGTTCTACATTGCTTCATAAAGCTGAAACTGGATTTGTTATTCCTGCCCTCAGTCTTCACATATTTACTGTCTTTGTCATATAAAACTAAACATGCACATCTGGCAAAAAACCAACAATCCATTCTAAGATTTGCAGAAATTCACCTAGTAACTGAAGAAGATTCAGTTTTGTGAAATGGCTCTCCCATGCAACTTCATGTTACTTATGTATTTGTTTTACAGATTCCTCAGCATTCTTACATTAAAATAATTGTAATGAGCCCAGATTTAATCTAACAACTCCCCTATATCATTAGATACGTTTTTAGAACTTTGAATCTGCTTTCAACTAATACATCTTTGAGTTTTGAAACCACATTGCTAAATATTCCACCATTTAATCAGAACATCAGCAAATGAGTTTGGGATAATCGTTGTCATTCGGAACAAACCATAAACCTCCTCATCACTGAATTGCAAATCTCTCTGAAGATCCTTATCATATATGTACAAGTGTATGTGGGTATAGTAATCACAGTTCCTATTTCCTTCCACATACTTATTCTATGGGAAATTTAAAGGTCTGAAAGAAGCTATAATTCCAGTGTCTCATCCATGAGTTTTTCCACCACTGAGTGTTTCAGCATACAGATGTTTGTACATCATTGTGTATATAAGGTCTGGCCAAGGGAAAAATTAGGACACTTCAAAAAGTAACATTTTGAAGTTATTCAAATAATGTGTTAGATATTGCAGAATTATACAGAATTACATTTGAAGACATTTACAGTGATACTACTTCCTTGAACTGCAGCTTGAAGTAGTATATTAAAATATGTCCCTTCTAAATCTGTGTATTCAAGTTACAAACATATTAATGTTACTGCTTGTAATACAAGCAGCAGTCCCTAAAGAATAAATCAGGGGTAGGCAACCTTTCCCCTTTAAGTGCCGAGGGACTTCAGCTCCCAGAAGCCTCAGCCATGTTGGCCAATAGCCCCATGTTGGCCAATAGCTACTGGGATTCTGGGAGCTGAAGTCCCTCAGCCCTTAAAGGGGAAAGATTGCCTACCCCTGGAATAAATGGTTAATATTCAACAATTCAGGTTATTAATTACATCAAACTGTATGAGCATGTCCTCAAGGATAATAGAGATGAATGGACTCATTTGACTCAGTACAAATGAATAGGTTCAAATGAAAGTATCTTCCACTGTTCCCAGTGGTGGAAAAACTCATGGATGAGACACTGACATAGCTTCTTTCAGACCTTTAAATTTCCTATAGAATTAGTGTGTTGATGGAAACAGGAATTGTGACTACTATATATACATACACTATATACTGTACATATCACATGAGATGGGAGACAATCATAGGGAGCTAATCTGAGATATGACAGTAGGCACATCCTGTTAAACATTTTTGCACGTCTATTACTTTTATTAAAAAACTTTGTTGCAACACACCAGTAAAAATTAGGCTGCTTCCTTCTCCAGGGCTTACTATGCATTAGCTGGTGCCACTCATCAACAGCTTGGGTCCAGGGTATTTGAAGGACTGTATCTCCCTTTATGAACCCACTAGAAACCACTAGAACACTTTCAGGTGCATTTGGTGGGAACAAGAGAGAGGGCCCTTTCGGTGGCTGCCCCCAGGCACTGGAACTCCCTCTCAAGAGAGGCCAGGCTGGTTTCATCCCTGCTTTCCTTTTGGCAGCAGATAAAAACATTTCTATGCTGCTAGGCTTTCTCACACTGACATGGGTGCTGTAAGAGTTTTATAAAGATTTTTCAAATTTTAAATTTGAATATGTAATGTTTTAACTTTTTGAAATGGTTTAATTGTTTTAAAACTTTGTATTTTTAATGCTTTGTATTGTTTTAACTTTCATTGTTTTAAATTTTGTTAGCCACCTAGAGTCCCTGTACCGAGAAGAAGGAGAGATATAAACAAATAAAATACTAGAATAAATAAATAATCAACAACTTGTCTTCATGCAGCTACCCCTGCTTGCAGTTAGAACTAAAAAACTACTGTGGGCCATAAATGAATATGCTGGCCTTCCTTGCTGTTTCCTTGAGCACCACTCCTAGCCCTTTTTGAAAACACTTGATCTCAAACCCACAGATGTTCCAAGCTGGTTTATCTGCTGTCCATGGTGGAACACAGCCATACACCTTCTTGCTTGCCTCCCTGCTCTTTGTAATGTGAAAATGATGGAGTCACAGTGAAGTATATGATGTGCTTCCTCCTCTCTATTTGATACTCTTATAAAGATGCTGATGACTCCTGTGTCAATGGGATGATGAATCCATACCAGGTTTACACTTCATTTTAAAGCAGCTATCTATGGTACTCAAGGGGTAATTATAATTTTAAAGTTTAGTCTGAAAACCTGGGTGAACTCACCACCACATTAACATGCCAACCACCAACTCTCACTCCTCTGTTGCTCCCTTCTCTTGTGTTATGTTCTGAAAAGGGTATGAAAGTGTCTGTCTTCAATTAAAATAATAATAATAATAATAATAAAATTTATTTATATCCCGCCCTTTGGAAACCCAAACAGGGCGGCTCACAACTGTAAAATCTTACACAATACCCAAAACCCAACAACCCCTCCCCCCTTAAAACAGTATTAAATCCATAAGAATTAAAACCAACAATTCATCAATTAAAACAATTAACAACCAAACAATTTTACAGGAAACAATATTAAGCCCACGGCAATAATCCTCATCCATCCTTAGATGGGACCACGCAAGGATCATTGGGGTGGGAGTACCCAAGGCCAGGATAATTAATCTGGAAAGGACTGCCGGAAGAGATCCACCTTGACAGCCCTTTTAAAGCTGTCTAACGATGTTAACTGACAGATCTC